AATGGGAATCTTACGGCTTTTTAAAGGTTACTTTTGTATTGTATAGTATCCACAGTCTCTTAGTTTTAGCTCCTTATCTTACTTTTCAGGGATTCTAAGCAACCACTATAAACACAAACACACACACACACACACACACACACACACACACAAACACACACCCCTCATCTGAGAATTTTACAAGTGTGGCAATAGATATAATGAAAAAAACATGAAAGATCGCTTTCATGAAAATAACAATGTGAATAGTGGATTATTTTATTGCAATAAAATAGTATCTTGAAAGTAAAAACACAATTGATATAAAGAAAATTCAAAATATGGCACAATGATATCACAAAAGAACACCATGGATAGAGATTCCATGGCCTAAATGAGTCATGTAAATTTATAATAACACAAAGATGCCTAAATTTGGATAAAGAAATATAAGCATATAAATAACTAAATTTCCAAGAAATCACATGTTCTGCATCAGTCATAATCTACTTTCAATAAACTGATTTAACATTTGTTTCATGCTATCGTATAGAGAGCTTCAAAAGTATGAATGGGAAAGACATGGAAAACTTTACATGTAAAATTTGGCTATTATTAAATTTAAGGTGAATGTGCTCATTAGTAGAGATTTCAAATAACCAATCAAGTTAATCATTAAATATTTTTTGAGGGACTATATGCTACTCCAGAACAATAGGTAAGTGGTTGCTAGGGGTGTATGGGAATAAAAAGTAAAACAGGAAAATCAGTTTGATGAAGGATATTTTCATTTGTTGTACATCCACCAATATGATTCAGCTACTATGTACATACTTTGTCCAATTTAGGCAAGCTTAACTAAAAAAATAAGAGAGCAGCATATTCCATGTTCTGGAATCATACAGCAATGATGTTCATACTTTATGTGATCAGAGAGAGTGAACCTAAAATCTAAAATATAATTTAGTTTACATGAAAATGTTTGACAAGGTCATTTCTATCTAGAGGATTATGTTCATATACACACAAAAAAAAAACGGATTACATGAATATATATGCATATACATACCCATGTTATTTTTAAATATAATCTAAAAAACAAAAAATTAAAATTAAAATAACAAAATGGATTAAGGATTAGGAATATAGTTCATTGACTGCTTGCCCAGCGTAGGTCAGGCCTTGGGTTTGTGTCCTAGCACTATAAAAACACAATGAAACCATAGCTTGATGTTCATACTACACAGAGTAACACTTAACTAAAAAAATAATAATAAAAGCAAACTTTATACATACAGGTGCTAAATAATTTCTTTTAATAAAAATGAAGTAACAGTACCATTCAATACTTATGAAAAACTTAGATAACTAAACATAATTTATTTTATTAATAACTTATTCATTCAAGAAATACTTTCTCAGAGGGGGCTTTAATTAGGGAGAAGGGAAAAGATTAATACAGAAGGAACAAGGAAGTAAAATGACAGTTAAGTTTGTCAGAAAAAGTGACAAGGAGCCACATCTACCTAAGTTCATATCTGATACTCGCAAGCCTGTGTACAGATGTACTACATACAGAGTTCAAATGCAAGTTTTCATTTGGACTGACAGTGCTCTCCCCAAGAGCCATGGACTAACAAAACCTGTAACACTAGGCATGAGACGTTGCTCAGGGTTGTCTAAGAGAATACCAAAACACAGGCTATTGCTGCTGTCCACAGTTGCCTCCAGAAGATTGAAGGTAAGTCCTTATTGCTGAAGGCACCATATATTTTGGATACAGGACCCTGTGGATCTGACCCGGCTCTGACCTGAAAGCCTTCTGCCTGAGAACTAGCATTCATGGTACCAGAAGGTGGCATGCAAGCTTGCAAGGGAGGACAGCAATCGACAGTCCTACCCAGCTATGACTTCTATGAATTACAGCAATGACCAGCATGGCACGGTATCTCTAGGAGCACAATAGTGGCATATATATCTTGGTGGTAACCAATAGCCCTCTGACTGGACTTAAGGTCCATTCAACAAGGGAGAGTTATTCTTGGTTGGAAACCTAGACAACTAGCTGGGGCTAGTGAAGTCATGGATCTTGGAGGAAAACTGAGAACCTATAACTTCTACTTTACTAAATCAGCATAATTCTAACTACATTCTAAATATTTATCCTGATACCCACAGATGTGTACTTCTCACCCTCCAATGAGGTAACTTTCCTTTGCAATAGGTGGAGACCAATTATAGAAAACAACAAAATGCAGAGTTGTGGAGTATAGTCATAACCGATACATCTACAACACAATTCCTACACCTAAAGCTCAGGGATCATTGTGAAAGGGGGAGTGAAAAACAGTGCAAAAGCCAGAGGAATAGAAAGTTTGCTGTGAAATTTTATCTCCTAGAAATGCTGGAGAAGCCACACCCATAAAGTCTCATCAACATGGCCTAAACAAGAACAGCACCAACAGACATGCTAACATGGAGGGGAGATTTTGTGGGCTCAATCCTATAAAAACAACAACAAAACTACTACAGGTAACTAAGCAATGCTGAGGGAGTGGGAAAATAGTCTTTTACAGGGAACAGTGCCCAAATTGGCTATCTAATACCAAGTGATCAGTCCTAAAATCATAAGCATACAAGTAACATGAGACAGACTAAGCATGCTGTATTCATGTATTTAGGCTTGAGTCTTTCAACATGCGGTCTCTAGATGGTGGTATTGTTGTGGAAAACTTAGAAGTAGGAGCAGAAAGTGGGTGAGGAAGGACAGGCCTTTAAGGCCTACAGCCCAGCTTTTGGTCCCACTCTTTGCTTCTTTGCCTGGCTGCTGTGTGAGGAGCTATGCCTTATTTTCCTATGCAGAACTCTAAAATCTAGAGTTTCTTCAGCCTTCATGCCTTTTCCACCACGAAGGACTAAAATCTTCAGAAATAGTGAGTCAAATAAGCCTTCCCTCTCTTAAGTAGTTTTTACACTGAAATGAGAAAAGTGACTAACAGGTGTAAAAATCTTATTTGATGACATTATTAATCCAAATAATAATAGTTCATATTTATCATTAACATAACTCTCAAAATTCTAAATTAGAAAATACAGTAAGTTAGAATAGAGTATTAACATCTTACTTTACATTTTGATAAGATGATCAATATAAGGCTATTGCTCACATTAAGTGGTAAAGTATCGATACTATTGCTGTTAATATCCAGGGTATCTAAAAATTAACAAAATAAGAAAAATTTCAGGAAAAGAACACTTCGTCAATGGCTTATCTGCCAAAGCCTCATATATTTCCTGTCTTTAAAAACATATTTATTGCCTATTATCTTATAGTTAATTACATTTGTTTTAAAAAGATGAGCTAAGAATTAATACCATGAAAAGCTATTATTTTCTGTCCTCCTTCTAGTTAAACAATTCTGGAAATTTCTAAAATAGTTCTATTGAAGAAACATAATGAAACAGCAACAACAAAAACAAAATCCTAGCTAAATCTAGAAAAAGGTGATGTATTACATATAAAGACATTATCAAAGACAAAACCTGAAATAAAGCAAAAGTTCAATAAGAATCTTTCATTTAAAATCTCTGCAATCTTTCAAAAGATCTTAAAGAATACTAAGAAATTCCCAAATCAAGAGGTCACTAAATATCCAACAACACTCACCCAACTATTGGTAGGAGACCTCTTGGAGACCCAGATGCTTGAATCAGCTGAAATGGTACCAAGTGTTTACTGATTATTCTTAACAAAGCAACGGAGCATAGGCTAACTCCATACTATAGAAACCTGAAAGCTATTCATATTGACAGTTCTACTTACTACCATTATAAATGACTCAAAAAATAAAAAATTAATTCCAAATAAACCAAACTATACTGCATGTGTGTTAATTTTAATCCTTAGTGATACAAGTCTAACATCTAAGTATTATAAACAAACTGCAGAACAGCCTTTTCTAAATTAACATGCTATAATTTTTTTTAAAAAATGCACGATACTTTAACATTGACTCCAATTAGAAATTGAAAAGAAATATTCTTTTTAAAAATAATACAAATTCTCCAACATTTATTTTAGTAGCAAACAAGGAAAGGGTTTTTTTTTTGTTGTTGTTGTTGTTTTTTAGGTTATTTCCATGTTTTCAAAATGTAACTGTTTTGGCTTTTTTATTACACTAGTGACTTTTGTAATCAGTATTCTCATAAACACAAAGAACAAAAAATTATCAACTAAATGAGAGTCTCAAAAGTAAACAGTACTTTTAATATTAATATTTAATATTGTTAAAATATGAATTTAGCAAAAAAATATATGCTTGAACCTAATTTTAAAGAGGAGTAGAACAGAATCAACACCAACCTAGGGATATAAGCAGTACTCTCTCAATCTCTAGAAGTTGAAGATAAAAAGGTAACTTAAACCCACACAAACACATATGATCCTTTCTCCAAACATCCATGTGGGGGTTGAGAACAGACAACCTACAACCATGGGAACAATTAGGTACAAAGCATGAAAGACTACAATTTTCCCAAGCACTTTAAATATAAAAACTGCTTTTGCCTTATAGATGTGTGTCAAGTATGGGAATAAGTGAAACAAGATACATTTGGATACGCCAAACAGACAAATTCAGAACAGACTTTTTATGTCAACCATGCATACTCAAGCTGACAAATACTCAAGTAGTAAGCCAGCTGGCAAAGGATGTAAGAGATACATTACTAGGGATAGGTCTGCAACATAACATATCTATAGCTTCTTCATTGTCTAACACTTTTTAAAGACTTGAGAATAGCAATAAAATAATGGAAGTGAGAAGCACATAAATATTTTGAAAGGTGCCCATGAAGGAGAAATTTGAGAATAGGATGTTGAGAACAAATGGACTGATTATCTTATTGACCTTATTAGGACAAAGAAGGAAGCAATTAAGAATAAAGCAGGGACTGACATATTAAAAAACAAACAACTCTTCCACGAGAAAAATTTAAATGACAAAGCACGGCAGTATTACCTTTCTTTCGAAAGAGTGCATTTAGGTAATGTTCTGCTTGGCATTCAATCTTCTCAGTGTGGGACTGGCCCTGAGATGACAGCTCCTCTGTTGGCGTTGACTGTGAAGAATCAAGAGATGGTATACACTCCTAAAATTATAAGAAAGGAACATACCGAATTACTCTTCATTAAAACCTCAGCCCCAATTAAATATGTCAAAATTGTTTTAAAATTCAGTTCTGCCTTTTATAAAATATCAGATTATATCAAAAGAATATAAAATCTGTGATAAAATTCAGGGGGGAAAAACAAATGTACTTATAGCAGGAGACCAAAATAGCCTTATTCCTTACCAAAACTATGATAAAATATGTGCGTGTTGGGGAATGGGGTGAGGGTGAGCAGGCACCAATGAAAATTTTACTATATGCATGCCAGTGAAGTAATCCTGCCAGAGGTTTAACAAAGCAGAGGAGCTTAAAATTCTTCTCAGCTCTGCTCATCATAACAGATAAGGAATCAGGATTTCTCACCATACAAGAAGATGCCCATATTTCATCATTAACACAGGAAATATTTCTGATAGCCAAAAGACGTTAAAAGCAGTGAAAGGGTTTCAGATAGTAGTATACTGTCTCCTTACTAACAATTGCTAAGAAACCAGACTGTAGAGTGGTCATATATAAACTAGGTCTCCAAGCATTCCCTTGGATACCTAAATACCAACCTGACATAAAGTGAAGCTCATGAGGCAGAAAGTACTAAAAAACAGATACAAAGAAAACCAAACTAAATCGAAAAAAATAAAAAATAAATAAAAAAAGGAAGAAAGGTAAAAAATAATGAGTTCTTAAAAATCTAAACTAAATATTGGATATATTCTTCTCATTCAACAAAATCAGGTATTTAAATTTTCACTGAATAACAAATTATCAGAACAACTTAAGTTAAAAAAAAAAGAACTGTGTTACAATTGTGTGATTATTTTAAAAATAATTTCATGGCACTAAAACTTACACTGACTGCTTCCCTCTGTAGGTTACAAAATGAACATTTTTCATCCATAGACCAGTCAGTCAGCTCTTCTGGTTCACAGTCTTTAAAAGAAGGAAAATATTCATTAAATATACTAACTTTATCAAAACCAGCAAAATCACCATCTCTATAGTAATGGCAAAAGGAAAAAATGAAAAAACAAAAATAAAACCTAACTACTAACAGTAAGGAAAAAAAGTTTAACTTTCAAATTAACCTCTTGATATCTAAAAATAAAGAGAATAGGCCATAAGAAAACAAACACCAAGAATAGTGAGCTGGTTGTATATTAATACTTTTCTAACAGTAGAGTTTTAAGTTTCATCTCATCATTTCAAAGATTCAAGATTGCTATTTACTAATTTCCTTTTTATTTTCATTATGACAGTCAGACTAAAGGGGAAGATATGAGAAGGGATAAATTTTGCACAATATGAAAAAAAAAATATAATACAGAGAAATGGAAGAAAGGACCAAAGGTCAAGTTGAGAACACACAGATTTGAGAATACGGAATGATGCCTATAAAAACAAGAAACAATTCAATCTGTAGATCAAAAATAAGGTCAGACGTTCTCATTTTCAAGTGCTTACTTTCAAGAGAAAGGTGCAGTGAACACAGGTTACGCCATCCACTGCCAACTATGGACTATCATCCCCACAGATTAGTGCTGCTCTCAGGCTTAGTCACAGAAATTCCTGTTTGCAGTGCTGACAAGAGACTCAGAACTGGCCAAAAAGTACTTAGAACAAATGACTGTGGAATGCTCAGCCCTACTGGGACATCTACATCACACTTCCTGCACCCTGACACTCAGGAGACATCTTGGAAGAAGGAGCAGAATTTAAGAACTGGGGCATGAAGAGTATTGTCTTCTGGACATGACAGGGCTATTACACTTATGAACTCACAGAGGCAGTGGTTACCTGCAGAAGACGGACCTATCCACACTCCAGCATAAATGTGGAGGGGCTCCATAGGCCCTATTCCCCCATGAGGCCTTATAGGCAGTTAGTGGATGTTGGCAGAAGGGAAGTCCTATTTACAGTAACAAAGTTACTGGTCAAGTTGTCTTTGCTCAAGTAAATACCCTAAACTTATGCAACCAACAATAATTAAATGGCAAGGGGCACAAAAAATAAAACTTAGGAAAGAAGACTTGAGAAGATTTGGGAGGGGGGTTAAGCTAGGATAATAGTGGCAAGGGTAATATAATCAAAGCACATAACATACATCTATAAAATAGTGACTGAATAAACATTTAAAATATGGATTACTTTCTTTTTCTTTTCTTTTTTTCCCTGAATATTACTCTGTACAACACACAAGTTCTAATATATTAAAAAGTTTCTAGAACACAAAAAACACTTATCTGCTGAGAACATTTTAAGAAGGTATGAGAATGCTGTCTTTCTAATTACATGTAGTAAATGTACTGAGTCTTAAAATCATTGATAACAACAGAATGTCCTTCTAGTTCCAGTCCCTAAATAAATTTGCATGCTGAATCTTACAAGTGTATTCTTTACTATCTGAGACAGCTATACAATGGCTAATTGGAAAACTATCAGTGTGCTACAGAATTTTTTCAAAAAACACAATGGAGCTGAAGATATAGCTCTTCTAAGTTACACAGAAAATAAAGTATACTCTACCTAGAAGGATAATGAACAATTATACTGATTAGGGTCACTCCTAAGGCCCTTTTACATTAATCCAAATACAGAGTGGAAGATCATATAAATCAGTAGAAAGACTCTGTCAGTAGTACAAAAATATTATTAACACATACATTAGCAAAGAACAGTATGTGGGAACGTAAGACCCGTACACTGGTAATATGAAGCTATTTGAAGACTGGAAATCTTCATTTAGTAGTTATGACTTTTCAGGACACAACATTTTGTTTCAATCAGCTTATGAGTGCAATGTAGATTATATTTCCTAACTATTTTGCAAATTAAAATGTTATAAAATCTAACAAAGGTACTTATTAGCAATACAGAATTACTAAATGCTGTTTTTCTTTTTAAATCCTGTACCATTAAACATGTATTTGATAAGGTTACTTTGTAGAAGATTAAATACCTGCTTGATATATGGTCATTTTTCTATAGACAGCTTCACATACAAAACTTTTAAATACCCTAACAATTAAAAACTGATTCCTGGGCTTGGGAGATGGTTCATATTTTAAAGGCATGTCTTACAATTCATGTTTGGCTAAGTCTCCATGTGGGTTCCCTAATAAGAGGAGCAGGGGTTTGTCTCTGTCATAAACTCAGCTGCCTGCTCTTTGATCATTTCCCCCTGGCGAGGCAACCTTGCCAACCCATAGAGGAAGAGGATCCAGGTAGTCCTGATGATATTTGATAGATAAGAGTCAGACAGTAGGGGAGGAAGACTTCCCCTATCAGTGGACTAGGGGAGAGTGGTAGAGGGGGAAAAGGAAAGGAGGGAGGGTAACATTGGAAGGAGATGAGGGAGGAGGCTACAATCGGGATATAAGGTGAATAAACTGTAAAATAATAATAGTAGTAGTAATAATAATAATAATAATAATAGAATATGGTAATGTATAAAAAAACCAAGACAAACAAAAACAATTCACATTTGATCCACTGAAACTACATTTAAAAAGCCAGATGGGATAGCATGAACTTGTAATCTTGTCAGTCCTCTAATGAGATGAGAGGTAGAGATAGGGACTCACTTGAAAACTTGCGGCCAGCTAGCCTGGAGCATGCATGAGCTGTAGCAGCACAAACGAGAGACTGCTTCAAAAAGGTAAAGAACTAGCTCCCCTGAAAGTTAACTTCTGACCCCGACATGCCCCAAAAAAAAAAAAAAACAAAAAAAAACAAAACAACGCATGTGTACAGACACACTCATGCACACACACATGCACCAAAAACTTGGAGGAAAACACTTGAGTCCTTATAGAACTTTAGCTGTGTAAGCTTACATTATTTTGATCCTGGAATAAAGATGTGTGCATCATTCATTGCTGAGGCTTTGAAAGAAAAGGTGTAACCCAGCCCCATTTGAAACAGAATAATGCTTTGTAGGATCTGGGTGGTGTGGAACTCACTAGGTAGAGCAGAATAACCTCGAATTTGTAGAGGTCAATCTGTCTTCCAACTGCTAGGATTACAGATCTGGAACAGCATCCAGGCCTCCCCTCAATTACCTTGACATTTCCCCGTCCACCACAGGAACTTGCCCCAGGTGCAACCCTGGGGTTTGCATAGACAGACTGCAGTGCAGTTTCCTCAAATCACTCTTAAAGTTAGTCACAGATTCCAGAGCTACTTATTATTTAGGATTAGTGCTGCAAAACATGACTTCTGCCAAATACAACAGTTTTGATAAGTCAAGGAATCCTTAGTGATTTTTATTTTTATCACCGCTTTCATGAGAAAAAAAAAAATAACACTGAGATTTTTGAAAAATGGCTAACAGACTTAGGAAGATATTAAAAAACAAACTGTTTTTGTTGTAAGGGAGACAGGCCGATGGTGGTTACGAGCACTGGCTGTGCTACCAGAGGACCTAGACTCAATACCCAGCACGCACATGGTGGCTCACAACCATCTATAACTCCAATTCCTGGGGATCTGACACATTCTTCTGGCCTCTTGTGAACATGGCACATAGACATGAATGTAAGCAAAACACATATGGATGGTTTTCATGCATAAAAATTGTTATAAATTTAAAAATATACAAATTCAATGAGTTTCAAAGCTAATGTACGTTGACACACAACAATTTTAGATTAAGAAAATTATCAATTGTAACATAAAAACTGAGGCTCAAAAAGATGTAAATAATATAACTACTGAAATCGGTATGGTGGTATACACTTAAAATTCTAGTACTCAGGAGGCTGAGGCAGGCAAACTGAAAGAAGTTCAAGGATGGCTAATTTCCAGACTAGCCAGGGTTACAGTAAGACCCCAACAAAAATACTAAAATATAAATAGGAATAAAAATTAATTGTAAAAACTGATATAGGTGTAGGAATATTCTACATAATAGATGTGACTTCAAGCAAGTATGCTTTTTTAGGTGTCAGTATCTTCCCTGGAACATGAAGAGAGTAATACTAGCATCTTAAGGCTGCAGGAACAGTTACATAAAAACATATGATGTATGTAAGTTCAAAAGATGCAACTTTCATTTATTTTGAACACTTTATTCTTTTTAATATACTTTATTCACTGAATATAAATTTATAGTTTCCAAAGACAAATTTATAGTTTTCCAAAGTGAAAAATAAAAACCTCAATTTTATTCTGTGTTACTCATTGAACAATAGAACTTTACTAATTTCTGGAAAAGAAAATAAACAATGACAATGCAGCTATAAAATAACATTGTGGCTACAGGTGCAGCCCAGTGGTGGAGCACTTGTTTCTTATAAACAAAGGATGGGTCTTAATTCTGTAACACAGGCACATGTGCGTGCACACACACACACTAGTGTGAGCTCACACACAGGTGCATGCATGTGCACAGAGACACACTACTATTTTATATACTTACACCAATTTTTATTATGAAGCATTTTAGTAACTGCACAGAGCACAGACTCCACGGTTTGTTTGTTTGTTTGTTTTATTGCTATTGTCCTAGTTTTGTGTTTGTTTTATTTTTTTTAGAGAAAGATTATGAAGTTCAGGGTCAATCTGGGAGAAGTTGAGAGAGAGGAAAGAATATGATCAAAATACATGGTATAAAATAACGAAGAAAGAACTAAAGAAAAATATAAAAATTATCTACAAATTTCACTATCAAGAGCTAATGAGTCCAACATTTGTTATATATCCTCCCAGTTTGTAGCATAGGCCTTTCTAAAAATTAAAATCAGTTGGTTCTTTGAAAAGATAATATAACCCATAAATATCTAGCTAAGCTAAATAGGGAAAAAAAGAGTAAAATATTCCAATATCATAACAGATGGGCTAGTCACTTCTGAAGTTAGAGACATTGAAAGAATAAAGAAATGTTACAAATAATATTATGCCCAGAAATTCATTAACTTTGGTGAAATGACCAA